CATCTCATAGGATCACAACTACTTCATCATTTGCTTAAATCTACACTTTGAAATATTCTATTTCCCCCAAAATACTCTGTCATGAATTAAAGAAGATTTTTCAGAATACTACTGTTATAAATGCAACGGCAAATTAAAGATTAACAAAGATTAATTTATTATAAATTAATAAAGCAACAAACAGTGAGGAAAAAAACCACAATAAATGGACAGCGCAGCGCTGGGTGGACAGGGTCTATACGCAAGGTATAGGTGTTCCCAAATCCACGTCTGAGGGTTCTCTGGCCTGGGTTTTTATAGGGATTTTATGTCCCCAGGCTAGAATTCCAACCAGTTTCCATTCACCAAATGTCCCTGATTGTCTGGTGAATGGATTTCCTGGCCTAGAACATTGAGTCAGTAAGTATCCAGGCAGAGTCTCCTCAAATGCAAAGTGAGTCTGTATGTATTTTAACATATTTCACCACAGCAGGATTGAGAGATCCGGGCTAGCGCCGATGGATATCTCGGAGGAGTAGTCTCTTCTTTGTCTTTCTTGATTGAATTTCTGTAGTATGGGTTTGGCGGGTGTGGTGTTCGATTCTGGCAACGACCATCTTCCTGGGGCTCGTCCCTTTTGTCTTGCTTGATGGTCTCCGGCTGAAATCGGCCGGGCGTTGCCTTTCTCTGGAGGTAGACTTTTAGGCTGGTTCTTTTGTTTCTATGATGGCCTGTGTCCTGTCTTTTCCTCCGAGTTGATGAGTCTGCTGAAACCTGTTATCTGGGGGGGGTTCTTTTGCAATTCGTGATTTTTGGAAAAGGAATTCTATCTCGACCGGGAGGAGAATTCCTTATTCCATACTTACATTTAGTTATAATTATACATACTTTATTTAAACTTCTTATTCCGAATTTTTATTTACTCAATTCTTTATTACACTACTGTCCATCTCCATAGCTTTAACAGAAAAATATTTCAGCTTATTAAAGCATCTCCTTATTTCTCTTCCCCCTCTGAAGATTAATTCCTTTCTTCAGTGTCTTTGATAGTTTATGGTGTCTCTTTGTTGATCACTCGCACTCTCTTCCCCTCTCTCTGGCAAAAGGATTAATCTGCAAGTCTCATCTCGGTAGTGAAAGGGTTAAAATCTTGCCCAGGCCTTGTGGATGGTCCCTTAATTTCTGCTGGAGCAGCGCTGGAGCTGTCTGCGATGGAAGATTTTCCGTGGCTACTCTGGCAGAGTGTGGCCACTGTCTCAGCACTCTGCAGGTCAGTGGCTTTCTCTCCCCTTACTCAGCAGTCTCTGGTGAAACTCAGCAGCGGCAGAAACTGCAGCTGAGCCAGGGTCCGGCCTGGCCCAGCCTGGGCCCGCTTCCCCCCCCCGCCCCCATACACACACTCCACAGCCTTGTCCAGCCTTGTGGGGGGGGGCGGGAGTGAGGAAGAGGCTGAGCTGGCGCCCCATTACCTCTTCAGAAGCCAGAAACCAAAGAGAGGAAGAAATTCCCGGGCTACATCTTCAGGCAGTGTTCACAGGCTGATCTCACTTTTCAATGATCAAAACCACTGTCAGTTCTCAGAAATGGTTAGTTACTGGCCAGGAGAAAACTCCCATCAGCCTCCAGCAGTTTCAACTTCCCTAGCTCTCAAATCCAGTCTTAAAGGTGCAGAACTTAATATATAACATAAACCAGGCGTTTGGAGATACCAGTATCATAAAATCACCCCAGGACATATATATAGATGACAAGATAATATACAAATTGCTAAGGATAGCTGAACTGCAATTAGATTCAATATGATTCAGTAGATCATTACTGAGTGATTTTGACTTTACACTGCATGGAAGAAAATAACAGAAGGCTTAAAATTATGTTAATTAATCTCTTAACCTAATCTGATTCTGTTCATGAGTAGTGTGAACAAGGTGGAAAAGCCAGAGCATTTAGAAAGATAATCCTGGTTTTGTTAATAATTCCCTGAATAGCCGTAAGCCCTTCACTTAAATCTTTTTACAACTCAGCCTCCCCACCACTTAAAAGATACCAGAATACTTACTCACCTGCTTTTTACACCTGCAATATGGCTTTGAAAACACAATGTTTCAGCATAAGAACTACATATTTCCTTTCAAATTTCTGTACTGTTTCCTGTTCAGGACTAACTTGCTTTTTTTCCATAATGAAAAAATTATGTGACAACAGAAGTTGTACTCTAGGACACCTGGTTTTATTTAAGAGAAATCAAGAAGCAGTTCATGCCAAAGACATATAATACAGTTTGTAAGTTAAATATTAATGCAATTAAAACTATCACAAAGGTGAGTGGAATACAGTTTTCAGAGGTTTTTAAAGCCAAAAGCAATATACTGCAGGCAGATTTAAATCTTGGGGTGACTATCAGAATCTCAATGTGAAATGCTACCCAGCCTTCAAGCACAAACTTTGCATCCACACATTTATTTATTCCAGTCTGCTCTTTAAGAGAAAGATTTTTTATAATGATATGATGCATAAATTTTGCAATGACTGATGATTTATTAAAATTCTAAATTGGAACACAGTCATGTAGTTTGAAAATCAACAAAAAGGATGTAGTGCTAAAACCTGAAAAAGGAAAAAGCTCTTGCCATTTGTGTGAGGATTTCAAAATTTGTTTTAATATTTAAAGTCCTGAAATAAGAAATTAATAGCGTATTTGTGACATTTCTAATTGATACCAGGCTTCAAAGCTCTGTAAACATTACAGAAAATGAAAAAACTGTATAAAAGAGATCTAGTCACATTGGAAACCTGGGCAGATAGAGAAATGATAATTTCCTGTAAGATGGTGCATGTACAGGATATTCCCCAATTCTAGGAAATTTTTTTTAGAAATAGTGATCTATTAAATGTCAGATGTGATTTGAATAAGATTGGATCCAAATTCCACTAGTTGCTTCAATTTCTTTTTCTCTCGTTTATCACTGACATATTCACAAAGGTTTATTTTAGTGGAAACCAATAGGTAAAGCTATCCTTAAAAAAAAACAAACAAACAACAACATAAAATATAAAACAAACCAAACCAATAGTCTCCACAAAATGTCTTTCATTATGGTTCCACCATTGAAACTTGGTTATAGAAGATGACTAGATCAGGATAGCAAAATCACATTATGCCTTTCATCCCTATGATCATCATCTTCTCCATGAATGATAAATATCTAACTCTTACTGCTTGCACAATCCACTCAATTATACTTATGTTAAAATTCATCAACAAACATGATTAAACAATTATATTATTAGAAATCACTTTTGTATTTATTGGCCACAATTAATTATAGCAACAAAAATACATACTACATTTTCAAAAGTATAATTCCTCATTTACCCTCTTCTAATAAATAAAGATGCTATATATTTTTAAAATTGTATATATTATTCAACTTTTTTTTTTTTTGTAGACTATTTGGATATATATTTCTGTTACTAAAAATAATAAAAGTTTACAGGGTCACTAAGTAAATTAATAAATTTATGATGTCTAAATAAATAATGTCTGAAAACAACAATGGGATCCTCAAGCAACCTCCATTTGTCCCCCGAAGTAATCCTGGCTAGCTCTGTCGAGGGCAGGGGTCAGGAAGGCTCTTCACGACCAAGATAAAAGACCAAAGGGCTGCTTCTCCCTGTGGGGTAACTGGGATATTTATCCTGGCTGGCTTCCAGGAGAGAGAAGAGCCCGGAGATACATTTCCCGGACCCTTTCAAACCTCGGGAGAGGGGTGGGGAGACAGATAACATCAACCAATGGAATAACATTTCAGCAACAGGGAGGGGAGGGGGGAAAAACATGTCAGAGCTACAGAGAGGGTTTACACAGAAACTAAGTAACCCCCCAGAAATATGCACTACCACAGGATCCAAATTAGAAATGCAAATGATCAAAACTGACTAGGTGAAGGCTATATATTTTCTAAGGTCTTATATGCTCGATAAAATCAGATTGTGTATATGGGGCTGACAAGCCCAAATGGAGTTGCTCAGAGTCTTGTTCTAAATGTGTCTTTTCTATCCTGTGGAAATCTTCAGCTTAAATAATGGTATGTAACACTGGTAACAGCATAATACAGTGCGTCATGTTGGTCTTTCTACTCAATTGTGTGCTTTCATTCTGGTTCCCATTTTTAAGATCTTTTAAAGATCATTTAATTTTCAAAACACTAGCTGAGCAGCAATCATATTTTGTGCTTACTTTTGACCAGGTTTGGACTTTATCGACAGAATTTTCTCTTTAGCAAAGCAGGTAATCAATTAAAGCATTTGTTGCTTAACAGCAACAAAACTGATTGTTTCCCAGCTTAATTTTAAAAATGTCAGAGAAACATTTGAAGGACATTATCTGAATTACTATTTTATACAGGGTGCTGGGAGATTAATGCAATGTCAAGGCAAGGCAATAAGCTACATGCTGTTGATTGGCTTTCTCAGTACCTTAGGAGAATTTTGACTTTTCTAAGCCTAGTGCTTAGAATTATTGTACTGTTTTAATCAATTTATTAAATCAAAAAGAAACCATTTTTATTAGGTATACTTTGATACAACGAACATCAAAGAAGCAAGGAACAATCAACTTCATTGTCATGAAACTTTCATTTCATAATCTGTGCAATATTTCTTTAAGATCCTTTCACATTACACACCCATAAGATGATAGGTTTGTTTCAAAGGAGATTTTTCTTCAGTATTTTTGTTGTTTTTACCAGAAAGCCTTTTCCTTATACATCCTTTTTCTAGTGATATAAATATATCCTCAAATTACTATTTCATTTGCTGTTGTAAAATTATCTCTTCACCTACTGTTTCATCAGCAATCTTCAGTTTTGTCTCAACATCTTTAATTTATATGCAAAATATTTGCAACTTTTCCTAGTTGCAAATCGACAAATATATTTTCCACATCTGATACCATTGTTGTCCAAAATTGTCAAATCACTCAGTAGTAAGAAGTGTGCTGTATTTATGCTGTGTTTCAGATTTGATTTTTTTCTAAAAAATCAAATGTAAATTGCTGAATACATTGATTCAGTAGTGAAATAATATTATTTACTTAGTTTTTAAAATGCAGATTTAATGTCTGGGTTGTACTGGATTCAATTACATGATTTTTTTCCATCTGAATGGACATAACTACAAGAAAGTCACAGGAATATCTCTTAAAACTATTATAAAATATTTATTTGAAATTTATTTTGTGCAATATAATTGTATGCATTTAAATCAAAATATATATGGATCCATCAAAGGAGTATTTGAAACGAACAAGACTTGTTTATTACTTTTCATAAGATTAGGAAGATGACGTTGAGGAAAAGCTAAGTCCCCATCTTCTGAAGTATTTCAGTGGCTATTTTAAACAATTTTTGACTTAGATCTACCAAGGATAACTTTCATTATAGAAAGCAAGCCTGGTCAGTCTCCTGTTCAAGCTCTTCTCAACAACATTTCCAAAACTGGATAAATCTCAGCATCACAAACAGGATTGGAGTGTAACACCTGCCTTCAAGACTGTAACACAAATTCTCACTTCATAAGGAGACCATTTTGTCTCATTAACAAGATGACTATTACCCAGACCACCAACATTTAAAAGGGTTTAGGGGTTCCATATCCAAGGTGGCTGCTTAATAACAGTCACTACAGATTATATCAACTAAAAAATACAGCAGTTCAGTCTTGTGTTAGTCTAGGAAGAGAAAAGGGCATTGTAATTTACAAGGTTTAAGGACTGAACACAGGTTAACTCAAAATCTTGATTCTTAGGCTTTTTATGAGAAGTTGTGTCACATTCTTTCAAACAACTTCCACATAATTATAATTTTACTAAGAGGACACTTTTGAATAACCAGCACTATGAATCTCCTCTTAGATCAGGCTTCCTGAAAAATTTCTATGAACTTCTGGAAAAAAAATCAAGTAGATATCATGTAATGATGCCTTTACAACATCACTTTTTCATATTACCAATGGTACTACTTTCTCAATAATTTAGCCTAGTAACTGAAACCTTGATGTTCATCAGATTTTGTGGTAAAGACCTTCATGTTAGTCCAACTACATCAAAACTCACATATCATTAAGCAACTAGACAAGCTATTGAAAACACTTTAATCATGAGTAACAAGGAGTTTTTTCTGAAGCCTTGGCTGTTAGAATAAGGATGTCTATCTATCTTGAAAAGCTTTTAGTATTCACAATTCTGCAGAAATATCTGAAAATATCAGACAAATGAATCTCATGTATTTTGTACACACCATTATAAAACAATAACCTTGGATACCCAAAATCATGATTAATCTTTAATATCTGATTTCAACAATACTCTCTATTGATAATCTGTCATTACCAAAGGTACAAACAGATAACCCACTGTCTTGGTTGGGAAGACAGGTGTCTGGTAGGGAGGGAAGGAGCCTCCCTCAGAATGAATATGCAGACCCTCCTCCCACCAAATCATTATAATTCTGAAATCAAGGGGCTCTCGGGCTGAGATCTGGGGAAAGGAATAACAGTTCTTTACTAGTATTTATAACAAGGCAAACAAACAACAATAACTACAGCGTTAGCAAGAAAAC